CCCATGTGTGGATGCTGTCTTAGATACTGTTCATTATGGGATATGGGATTTCTGTTACCAGTACCCCTTTGGAGAAGCTCTCGTGTGATCTAAGCACCTGGAATGGTTGTAATTTACCTGAGCAATTTGGCTTTTATTGTATGAACACAGAGCGTCCAGTATCTGAACAGATTGTCCTTTTTCTCTTGGCCTCCGGAAGCTCAGAGTCAAATAGGTAACTCCCTTTCAGCAGGTGGACATTTGGGAAATTGCAGGGTGGACTTGTAACTCTCTCCTTCTGTCCTGCTTGTCTTTCTTCTCCTGTCCTCAATTTGCCTTTTGCCATCATGCTGTACTTCCTTCTTCTGTGTTTGTCCATCCGCAGTGGCTGGACTCGAGTTGATAGAGGGTAGATTGGTAACCACTTACCGCATGGTCTATGTTCTTGATCTATACAAAGCACAGGGATACTTCAGATGATCACTTGGCCATGCATCCTGCTTTGCTGGGAGCCCAGGAGCTGCACAGAAAAGTCATGAACCATGTGTACCCCTGGAGTTTGGACATACATGTGTGATAAAGTACAGGACAGGGGCCTGTTCCTAGAAACTCTTCTGTATTGAGAGACACTGAGGTCCACATAATAGATGACAAATTCTGGCAGCATGGAATAGAACTGACAGGGGGGCCTGACTGTCCCGAAGAAATAGTGGCTCAAAATAGAATGTAAGGCTGCTTTCGGCTCTACTTTAAGCCAGCCCCTCTTCAAGGGAAACAGAGGGCTGTGGTCTGAAAATAAGAACCAGGTCACTGGGGCCACAGGCCTGCTGCTGTGGGACCCCAGTATCAAAGAACAGACTGTTGGAAAGACATTGGCTCAGTGGCTGCAAGTTGAAGTGGTCACCAGAGCTTCGCAGGTGGAGGCAGCGAGGTGCCCGGGGGTGGCTGTGAAGAGGAGAGGGGTCCCTACCCCGTAGAGGGCCAGGACCTGCCAGCACTCAGCTCGGGGGCAGCTGAGCAGGCCATCTACCGTTGGGTGGAGGAAGGGAGGTGAGGGGTGGACGACTGACCTGATCTAGGAGACTAGGGGCAAATGATTGATATGACCTTGCTTGGGATCTGTAAGCTGGGATGCCCAGAGGTATAACTGTGGGCCCTCCTAAATCTTGTCTAGGACACAGCTGAGAATTGGATTAATTAGACCATTAAGTAAAATTTATTAATAATTTTTCCTTTGAGCTTCGACATATCTCTGTAAAAGTGTGTTTTGCATCACACCCTCAAGTGTATGTTTGTGTGGTTATCTTTCCCTGTCCTCTGCAAACCTTGTGAGGGTAAGAATCATATCTGTCAATCCTGTGCCCCTGCACAGACCTGTAAAAATAAAAACAAAAAACAAAAAATGTCATTAAATGTTTCTAGGATAATAAGCAGGGTAATGAATTCAAATGGGAAGGACACAACCACCTTGGAAGCACTTTATCTTCCTAACCCCCTCTCATCACCTTGTAAGTGAAAGGCTTGGTCCTTGGTTTCTGGGGAATACATTCTTTCTCTGGCCTATAAGAAAGAGCATGGGTTCTGTGGTTAGGTCACCATAGATTTACACTTGCCTCTGACACTTTCCTTCCGTGTTACCTGAGCAGGTCGTTTAAACCTTTAATGCATCAATTACCTTATACTTAAGTAGGGATAAAAGTCTACTTCACAAAGTTGCGAGGATTAAGTGAAAGCAAAGGTGACAGTGTCTGTAATCAGTGCCTAGTTTATTGCCTGACATGGAGCAGATGCTCAAGAGAGCATGCTTCTTATATTAGTCAGGATGTGCAAGGCTCTGCTATGGTAGTAACTAAGCCCTAAGATGTCAGTGGCATATTAAGACTAGAAAAGTCGGCATTTTGCTCCTGTTATGTTCAATGACAGTATTACTGGTCAGGCGACTGTCTGGGTGACACTCCTCCAATGAATGTGTCAGGGATCTAGACATCTTTCTTCCTTTGATGGCATTGCCTTCAAGTACACCTTTGAAGGTCTTCAAAGTGGGGTGAGAAGGATTGCTAGTAAGAGATTATTTTGGAGGGGCTAGTCTTGCACATGGTATCACTTTATTACGCATTTCCAAGGTTTACCACATGGTTTTCCCCAGATGCAAGGTGGCCTGAAAATACAGAGTTCTTGTGTGCCCAAGAGAGAAGACCTCAACAGTTCGCCATGCACCTAGCGTCATCTTGGCCATGCTTTCTTTCTGTAGCCCTTGATGCTATCTCAGTTTAGGACAATTTGTCAGTTCTGCCCGTGAACACTTGAGATGCTGCAGGCTCCCCTCGCTTGCCAATTCCAGCACATCGGGATCTGGGTGTTGTCAGTGGCATTGACGTGGTTGGTTTGTCTTCCACAGGCTGGGAGACAGGCTGGGAGGCAGCGGTGGCGTAAGGATGGGAGGGTGGCCCTCTGAGCAATTGGAACTGTTGCTGCTGCTACTACTTTCTAAATTTTAAATGGAGTGTGTTGTGTTTTCGTCTCTGTGGCATTCACTGTGCTGTTCTGGTTAGAGAAGGTCTATAGAGGAAGTGATTTGGGGGAGGATATAGTTTGGAATTTTCAGGCAGGCAATATGGGGAAGAAGCTTTCTAGGTATTAGAAGTGATAAGTAAGAATGAGACTGGAAAGAGCAGGCGGAGCTTGTGGACCGCTGTGGGCTCACTGTTACTGGAACGTAGTTAGATCTCTGTCTGGCATCCCATTCACATTTATGGGTTCATTCAGTCAATGGATATTTCTTAAGCCCATCCTCTGTGCCAGTGCCATTCCCAGCCATTCTGAAGCTTACTGTCTAGTGGAAGCTAGTTGATTGCCTCTGTCCTTGCCTTTCAGAGGTCTCCCTTGTCCACTCTATCTGGGATGAAGTCTCCTCTGCTTTCTTCCCCTGACCTTTCCTCTTGTCTCTTGGGACTTCCATCCTTGTCTGTTGACCCTTGTCCATCCACACTGGGCATTGCCCTTCTTCCCTTTGTTTCCCGAAGCACCAGTGACACAGGGCTGTTGTATGTCGCCAGCTCTCAGTGTGGAGTTGGATGTAGTGGACGGATCACAGGACAGGGAACTGTCTCCAATTCATGATCAGAAAGGCTTCCTGGACCACATCAGCCTAGGGGTCCTCTCAGTCACCCCAACCGCATCCTTCATAGCACATACAGAAATGCAGAGTTACTTACTAGTTTGCCTGTTTACTGTCTGTCTGCCTCACTCATGCTAGAGATAGCATGCCTCTTTTGTAAACCACTGTGTAGATAGCACCTTGTACTCTTCTAGATCCACCCTAAGAGCTCAATTAAATAATTGTGAATGAAAGAATGAATCAATGAAAGTAAACAGAAATTTTAGTTTCTACCAGTTCATCAGCCATTTCCCATCACAGGAGATTTCTCATTGGCTTTCACCTTCTGTAGGTGTCTGCTTTACAATGTTTCTTGGATCTCTCTCTCTCCCTCTCCTTCCCTCTCTCTTTAGGTGTCTATACTGCAAATTCCTGTTGCTTTTTAGTGCAAAGCTATTTAATTCTCTCAACTCAAGCCCCAACCCTTGCACTACCAAAACAGGTCCAGCTCTCCTTTGCCCAGCCCAACTCTTCTGGGTTTCCATACTCTGCAAGAAAGGAAGTGGAGAGAGCTTTGCCATCGTAGGTTTACTTTAGCAGTGTGTATAGGTTTACTTTAGCAGTGTGTATCAGATCTGTCAACAGGCCTTCCACCAGCACTAAGCAGAGGAAATCCCAGGTCTGGGGGTAGAGAAGGGATTTTGTCCTTTGTTGCTGATGGAGACAATGGTGTGATATTACATGAGGCTGCAGACACAGGAAGGGGCTAGCAAGGGATGGTTTCTGTACGTGGAGCAGAACCATGGATGTGGTTTGGATGTGTGATAGTGGAACCAATGGTTGTTTAGGGGAGGGAGATTGTGATGTGATGAGGTCTGAGCAGTAAGGAGACAAGAAAGGGCAGTGGGACTATGGACCCGAGTGTGAAACTCGGTCCTGGTGCTTTCTCTGTTCCTCTGTGCATCCTGCCAGCTCACCCCAGAGTACTCTGCCTCTTGCTCTGTGCTCATGGAGATGCTCTTGAACTTTAAAGCCCTGATTAGTTCTCCTCTTCCTCTTCCCCTTCTCCTTCCAGCATATAGTCACCTCCTGCTTCCCTGGACAGACCAGCATTTCCTAGTTAGAGCCCCAATTCCATACCGCACATCTCCCTTAATGTCACCTGGAGGGGACTTAGAGCCCATAGCATATGCTCAGCAAAATCCAACTTACACAACTCATTGCAAAGTGGTGGGTGATGGATGGCTTGGACTTTTAGGGAGAAGCTTTAAATACTGTCAACCTTGACAGTATTATCTTCCAGGTGCATGATTGTCTAATTCTCTACACATTTGATTTTTACTCCACGAAAACTTCTTTTATAGGGAAGGAGGTGGGTGTTGAGAATTTATTCTGTGCCAGTTTTCGTATGTTTTTCCATTTAATCCTCCTGATATTTCTGTCAAGTGGATCTTTCCCTCCATATTCCAGGTGAGGAAACTGAGACACAGATGGCGGAGCATCTGGTCCAAGCTGACCCAGCTTTGCAAAGCTGAGATTCGTGTCTAGTTTTTCAAGACTCTGAAGCTAGTGCTTGCTCTGCTGCCTTGCAGCATCTCTCCATGTTGGAGGAAGCAATTACAGAGGCATGCCCTGGCATTCATTTTTCCTGCTTAGAATGAGATGTTGCTGTTTACTTTCTCAGGAAGGAAGATTGAAATCAATGTAACTAGCCTTATTAACTTTTTAAAATAGGGGGCCTGCAGATGCCAATGTCTTTCTTGAGAGCGCCAAAGCAAATATAAAAATCCAATTTGCTTGCCTGAAAAAGAATCTCCTCCAGAGTTTAAAATTCAAAGCTGTAAATGAAGAGCTGATGAGACGGGGGTAACGAACCAAGCCCCAGACACAAGGGTATATTTACTCACGTCTCTTTTGTCTGCAGGTGGCTGTTCCTTTGATGACCACTACAGCAACTGTGGTTACAGCGTGGCCCTGGGGACCAATGGGTTTACCTGGGAGCAGATTAACACGTGGGAGAAACCAATGTTGGACCCAGCGGTGCCTACAGGTACGTGACCAACTGTGTTTGAGGCTCTGTTGGGGGTGGTAGCTTTTATGATGACTCATGGGGAAGAACTTTCTTCTGGAGCAAGCTGTTGGGGAGGGCAGTAGATAACTTTGTTGGTAATAAGTTCCCCATCCCCAGAGGTATGCAGACCAAGGCTGGGTGAATTCTTAAGCATATGGGCGAAGTCATATGTCATCTGGATTCAGGAAATTTTAGGATTTCTTTTAGCTTTGAGATTCTAAGCTTTAGCTACCAGTGGGGCATCACTGAGTTTTGTCTGGGAGCCAGATAGTAGTGGGATTTGCGGGGAAGAAAGCTTCTCAAGAATTTGAGGTCATTGTTTTCCTTCTGGGCCACACAGACATAGCTTGTATATATGCAGGGGAACCGCTACAGTCCAAATATAGCTCATAAAGTTGTTGTCCCGGCATCCTGAATGCCAAGTTTATCCTTCACCAGTGGGACTGAAGGCCTAATATACATTCCTGATGAATACCTGCGTGATGTAGGCCTATGAGAGTCATAGCCAATGTATTCTAGGGAAGATACACCTGGAGGAGGTGCCTTGCTGTTCTGTTTGGCCTTTCAGAGGATTGGATGACGCCCACCCACATTGGGGTGTTTGCTTTATTCAATTCTCCAGTTCAAATGCTAATCAAGTCTGGAAACACCCTCATAGACACACCCAGAAATAATGCCAGCTATAAATACCAGCTATTTGGGCATCCCTTAGCCCAGTCAAGTTAACACACAAAATTAACCATCACACCACGGATGACCTCAACTCTCCCCATGACTTCAGTTGCCGTCAGACATCTCTTATGAACTTGTGTACACAGCCCACTGCCCGGCTGCCTTGTCCTCCCAGGTGCTCTGAGACACAGCTCTGCCAGGATGTCATTAAGCTGGAGAGAGATGCTCAGAGATGTCTAGGTGAGGGTGTGGCCCGTGTGACCTTATTGACTCTGAGTTTGGCCCCAAAGCAGGAGGCTACTGGATGGCTCTATCTAGTTCCTATTAAGGGCATCTGTTGTTTGTGTACGTTTCTCCCGAGTACAGACACAAGCCCCAGGTACCGTAAAGCTGTGACATGGTACGAAATTGAGCTTTTCAGATCTGGTAGGATCTTGCTTGACGTGGGTGAGCAGAGTCATCAACCGCTACACGTGCCCATTAGTAAGGTGACCATGGGACAACCTCTATGCCTGTTGTCCCATCGTAGTTTTTTGAAAATGCTGACTTTACTTTCAAAAGTGTCTTGGTTTACGTGATAGAATCACTTTTTCCATTGGAAACCCCAGGCGTGCAGTGCACCTCTGCTGAAGGCTACCTACCGCATCTGCTGTTCTTTGTGTGGCCAGCTTTGATGTTGGCCAAATAAATTCAGATCTTATAGTGCACGTGTGTGCGTGGTGTGTGTGTGTGTGTTGTGTGTGTGTATTTGCATGCACACATAGGCTCTTTCGGCTCATCTTTAGCCCACTGGATGCCCTGTGGGGTCATGCAGACTCTCCAAACTCTACATCTCCCAAACTGGAGTCCTCATTCATCTCCATCTACTCAAGCTCTAATGCTCCTTGTCTCAAAAGGCCACTTCCTCACTCTGGTGCTGATTCAGAAACCCAGGGGTCACACTTCTCTCTGACCTCTCTCCTCTCCCCTCTCCTTGGCAATCACTCCGTCCTGCCCCTTTACCTCCTGAGCCCATCACAGGCCTGCTCACGTCTCTCTATCTCTGCCGCCGCTGCCCTGGTGCCACGCACCATCTCCTCTCGCCTGGGTCACTGGAAGACTTTCACGCAGACTTCTCGGCTTCCTCTTCTGACTTTTACCCGCTCTCTGCACAGAAGCCAGAGATTGTTCTAGAACGTAGGCCCGTTCACGTTATCTGTCCCTTTCATTGCCCCCACCCAGCTTCTGCCTAGAATCTTTTGGAGGCTTTCCTCTTGCTCTGAGAGAGGAGAGCAATGCCCTGCTGTAGCCTTCGAGGGGTCCAGCGCCCCACATCCCAGTTCCCCCCATGTTCACTTCACACTGGCTTTTCTCAGTTGCCAGAATGCTCCAGACCCTCTCCTGCCTCAGGAACTCACATGAGACTGGCACCCTCGTAGAACTTTCGCCTCCACCCCGTTCTCTTGTACTTCCCCTTCGTATCTCAGCTCTTGCATCTCTTCCTTAGGCCGGTGCTCCCCAGATGCTCCAGTCTGGGTCTGCTCTCTCTGTAAGTGTTCCCCATTGCACCCTGCTCTTTTCCTCAGGAACACGCGTCGCTGATGTTACTTTTTCAGTGTACACTGTATCGCCAGATGAGAAGTTCCATGGGAACGAGGACCATGACAGTCTTGTTCCTGGACTATCTTTAGTGCCTCATTCAGTGCGTCACGCACAGTATGTACGAATACCATTTTGTTGGATGGATGCATGGGCAAATAGTCTTTATCAAGTGTTTCTTTAATGAAGAAATGTCTGATAAATGTTATTAAATGCCTTTGGGCCCTTTATTAGAGCACATTTTAAATCTTTGCTACCATCCTTCCATTTTACAGATCAGAAAACCAAGGCTCCCGGCAGCCACGGGACATTGCTACTTTTCCCACCATGCCACTTTCGCTCTTGGAAGGAGCAACCCTTGCTCCTAATCTTAATTTTCTCAGACCCTTGCTATGGCGCCGTGGCGTTTCATAAATATTGGCGTGTACTAATACAGTCTTCTGAGCTTTTCTAAATAGAGGCATTCGATGGTGGTTACTGAAATTATTCTGTTGTGATGCACCTGTGGATTGCAGCAGCTCCGTGTGCTTCTTAGGCAGAGAGCCATGAAAGTGAATTTGGATTAGGTGAAATTGTTTGTTCTTCTCATGGGCAAAGGCTGAACTCTTCCTCTTCCTTCTGCAAAGCCAGCAGTTTCCATCCTTTCGGAAATCTAGTGTGGCTCTATGTATTCATGTGTCCCACAACCTTTTACTGAGCCCCTCCCATGTGTCAGGCTCAGTGCCAGGCTCTGGGTCAGTCAGCCCCTGCCCTTTGGGCACTTCCCCTGGTCTAAAGGATGAACCCTAAACTCCTCACCACGGCCTGCAAGGTCCTGCATGATCTGGTGTCTTCTCTGAGCCCCTTTTCTTCTCTCTCAAAATGTTCCAGACACACTGGTCATGTTTCAGTTCCCTGGGCATGTCTGAGTCTTTCCTGGCTCAGGACCTTTGCACGTGCCGTACCCTCTTGCTGCAGTCATTTTCTCTACTCTTCAGTTGCCTGGTTTTGTCAGGTCTCAGCATCACTCCTTCTCAGGGAGATGTGCCTCACTGTTCGTCTAATGAAAGACTCCCTCGATGCTCTCACTCATAGCGTCCTGTTCTTCGCTTTCAAAGTCCTCATCATCGACTTGTTACAGGCCAGCTTATTCCAATCCTGCACCATAGCTGACTGACCCTGGGCCTTCATCCCTCTGCCTCAGTTTCTTCATCGTTAATGTGGGAACCACTGTGAGAGTTAAATGGGCTGATGCCTGTGTGGGTGTGGCGTGTCTGCACATAGTAGGGCTTCATCAGTGCTGGTTGTCTTAAGTTCTTTCCTGGTTCTTACAGTCTCTGGGACTGTAAGTCTAAGTCCACCTTGGGACCTTGCCCCTTTTTCATACCCAGGATACATTGCTACCCTGAGGGAGAACACCTCTTCCATCTTGAGTCTGTTAATTCAGTGCTAGACACAGCCCCTCATCCCACTCTTTTTCCTCATCCCCCTCCATGGGAAAAGCCCTCAGGCTAACATTCCAGGCTTCATCCCTGGTTTTGCCCCCACCTCATCTTTACTGGGGCTGTCGCAGAGGATGGGGGTTACTGCACCCACAGACCCTCTCCCTAAGCCTCCATCTCGCCCAGGGAACTAACTGGAGCTGCCACTGGTTCTCAGCTCTGCCTTCTCCAACCTTGGCATGAGTGTCCACATGTCCTCCTTGAGGTCCAGCCCAGGGCCCAGCAGGAGGGTTGCTGGGGGTGCTGAGGGGAGACGGAAGTGCTGTCAGTGTCCTTTTAGAGGGATTGAAGCCAGAGGAAGTGGGGCTGGGACGTTTACTTCTCTTTTTCCTTCTGATGCTTGTAGGACATTAAGTGTCAGACTGAACCTCAAGCTGCAAACCCAGGTGCACAAGAACTGAGGCGTTTACATCAACGCTGAGCCTCCAGAGCGTGAGCCATTACATCGTAGCCTTTATTGGGCCTCCCCTTTCCCTAGGGCTTTACCGACATCCTGGGACTTAAGCGGGTCATTGTGGTTTCCTCTGAGAAGCCCGCTGTCACATTCCTTGTGGTCCCTTTGGGGCTAATAATTCTGCTTCTTCTTCCCGAGGCTTGGAGCCCTTCTCCTGAGTTGAGCCAGCCCAGGTGCATCACCCAGCATCCCTTTTGGGGTCTGTTCCCTCCACGAGTACTGTCATCCAGCAGTTTGGGTCAAACAAATCCATTCCTTTCCTCTTCCCAGTGTAGGAGCTTCTCCCCTCTCCTTCCTAGCCTTCAAAACCACACCCACGTTAGGCCAGCCCTTCTTGGACTCACAGTATCATCTGTTTAGTAAGTTTAGACCTTAAAAAAAAAAAAACAAAAACAAAGAAAGGAAGAAGGAACCCTTGACTTCAAGCAGCTTCTTCCCTCCATCCTGTACAAATCTCTAGAGCAGAGAAATACAAAGAGCCCAGCTAGTCAGCTGATAGGAAAGGGCAGGTGTTGGGGAAAATCCGGAGTAAACATATACACGTACAGACGGGAGTATTTCCACCAATCAGCCTGTCATGGAAGCAGGCACAGATCCAGAATGGTACTGGCTTTTCCTTCATGCCACTGGCCCCTTGGCAGCGTGTTTTTGCTTTGCTCTAACTGCTGATATGTATAGAGAGAAGGTTGGGGTCTGCTATGGGTTGAAATTTGTCCTGCAAAGAGATAAGTGAAGGTCCTGGTCTTGGCACCTGTGAATATGATTGTATTTGGAAATAGGGTCTTTGCTGATAT